TGTTCGCGACATGGGAATGCTAAGCGGGACTTTTGTCCCCCTTGTCCCGTTAAATGTCCCCTTTAGATAATTTCAAACTTGAGAGTATGGACCGGTGGTGTGTTTTGAATGGTCCTATGCAATGGACACTCATTGTACTGGCTGTTTCCTCATTAAATATTGACAGATAGGGGTTCACATCCACACATTGCCCCCTAACTCTGGTTTAAAGCATGATAGGACCATAAAGCTGATTCTGCATCTTTACCAAGAAGGCTAGGGTGATCATTGACTCCCCACATACACAGAGACCAAAAACCTCTTTGGAAAAGAAAACTCTGGACACAAAAGGAACATCTGAAAAAATCAACATGAACTGCTGCAAATGTTGGTAGGAGGTCTCTTACCCTTTAAGTACATTCTTAACTCATGGCCCAGATATTATAGCATAGTTCTCATTATTGACCACAAGCAGACATACCAAACTACATCCTGGTTGTGTGGGGACGACACTAGGGGGACATGAGCACTGAATACCCATCCTGGATCATGGGAAGGGTGTGTTCAGGGATATAGGTCAGCAGTGTAGGAACATTAGGAGGACATAGGGAAGCTTGTATGAGGGGGACAACATATCCTTCACATATCAGGTGTATCGGAGCATGCACTCTTTTATGACGTTCAAAGTGCACATTTAATAAAAATCACTACTTTTCGACTTTTTGCAACTTTTATCCCTCTTTTAACTCTAAATGTGCATATCCCTCTCTCTCTGAGTGGTCCTGAGTGGTGTAAAAGGGGGAGATGAAATTTTGCACCTTTTATCTCTCCCTACTTTAGGGTGTGCTTGGCATCCCGATACTTTTTCACACGGAACGTTATCCCGATACTTTCTGAACCGAAATTTTATCCTGATACTTTTTTGAACCAAATTTTTTTATCCCGATACTTTTGCCAGGGTTGAAAGATTATACATGCCGATACCTCCTGATCTTCCTTCCCTCTCTCCTTCTTGGTTCGGACGCGCAACGTCACAATCACGTGCAGAGTGACTCAACAGAAATTAAATTCAATGCAGGGTATCATAAAGGTGGTAGGCAAAGGAGCATGTTCAGGCGGTGCTGTGGCCAACAGTCTGTCGCACTCCGATGGGGAGTGTCAACGCTGGCCCAAATAGAGGCATGAAGGGGTTCCTCCACCTGTAAAAGCTTCAGTTCTTCCGTGGTGACCCAATGTTCACACTAAAAGCCCTGCAGAAATTTGCAAAGGCCTTTCAAGGGTAAAGGCTTTGGCCAAAGGGCACCTCTGATCAAATTTACCATGCAATCCATTGGAGGTTGGACCGGGTCCAACCTCAACTTTATTCATCCAAAGCACAATTATAGGGCCAAACTTGTGGTTGCACTTGTCAAAACTGATGAACCACCCTTGCCTTTCTGAAAGACCACCACTTTGTCATTAGGTCCCAAAACACGTACCACACTTCACAAACCCTCGCCTCACTCGGATGGCGGCCCGAGTCACCCCGCACGTGATTGTGACGTTGCGTGTTCGAACCAAGAAGGAGAGAGTGAAAGGAAGGTCAGAACGTATCAGATGTATAATAATCCAACCTTGCAAAAGAGAGGGATAAAAAAATTAATTCAAAAAGTATCGGGATAAAATTTTGGTTCAGAAAGTATCGGGAAAGTTCCGTGTGAAAAAGTATCGGGATGCCAAGTAAACCCGAAAGTAGGGACGGATAAAAGGTGCCAAATTTCATCTCCCTCTTTCACACCATTTAGGACCACTCAGGGAGAGAGATATGTATACTTAGAGTCAAAGGAGGGATAAAAGTTGAAAAAAAGTTGAAAAAGGGTGATTTTTATTAAATGTGCATTTTGAACGCCATATTCTTCAAGGGGGGATTGATACTTGGGAATTTATGATCAACAGACAGAAATACCTTCAGAAGGGTGTACTAGGTACTGAAGGTAACAGCAGATGTAGGTAGTTGCACGCACCTGGATGTATTTTTATTCATGGGATAGAAACATGAGATCAATGTACTGGATGCAATAGCGACAGTGCAACAGTATAGATCATGTAGGATTCTGGTCAGTTCCAAAGGCTATGTGCAGAAAACATGTACCTTGGATGGCAGAAAATACCCGAGTGAAGTTCATGAGTACAATGTTGGATGTGATGTAGTACAATGTCTCAAGTGTCTCTACACAACAATGATCTGCTGCCATGTCCCCCTAATGTCCCCTCACTGCCGGGATCTCCTGTCATGTTGCTCTAATATACAGACACGGCCCATCACCACTAGTGTTACCAGAAATGTCCCCCTTGTCCCCCCACCGCCGATGTGCATCAACACATCAAGCATGTTGCCCTAACAAAATCCAGTACCTAAACCCACAGCATGTGTCCCCTCTGTCCCCCCACCGTGTATGTACCGCACACGGGAGTCCACCCTTGCACCTGCCAACAACTGTAAAAAAAAATGTCCCGCTTGTCCCTCCACCGTGTATGTACTGTGCACGTAATCTTTAGCATACTGTCTGAAGATTTTACAAGTCTGAATGTCCCCACACCGCCATTGTGTCCCTTTTACAATGAAATGCAGAACATGTCCCGCCTGTCCCCCCCACCGCATGTGTAGTGGTCACGTGACACTATCCCACACCCGCCAGCAACTGGAGAAAAAATGTCCCCCTTGTCCCCCCACCACAGATGTACCAGGCACGTGATCCCATCCCCATACCATGAAAAAAAAAAATGTCCCGTTTGTCCCCCACCGCGTGTGTATCGGGCACGTGATCCCATCCCCACACTGTGAAAAAAATGTCCCCCTTGTCCCCCCACCGTGTGTGTACTAGGCACGTGATGTCCCTCTTAATGTCCCCCCCCACCATCGATGTTCTGCGAGATGTCCCCCTGTCCCCCCACTGCGGCTGTCCCCCCTGTCCCCACACCGTGGATGTTTGCCCGAGGTGCTATAAGTCCAATCTGTCCCCCCTGTCCCCCCACTGCGCCTATATCCGGCCCTTGTCCCCATAGTATCCCTGTCCCTGCACCGGCACTCTATGTGTCCCCCTCCCCAAGAGGGACCGTCCCCCGCAGTCCCCCCCCAGTCCCTGTAGGCCCCCATAGGGTGGCTGCAGGCGGGACTTGGCTGGTCGAGGTCTACCTAGGACCACATTTAGGGGGTATTAATATAGTCCTACAAGGTCCGTTAGTTGGGAATGGCAGGTGGCGTAGGAAGCGGGAAACCCTGTCCCTGTTTTAGCTTGCACAACCTGAAGCCAAGCAGACATTGCAAACAAATTCAACTTCCTTTCAAAGATTGGTACCAGGGTTACCAAAGTAGCTCCTAAGCAAAGTTTGCATCTGAAAATTCTGTTAGGGCTATGTTGCTTCCGCAATTACTGCCTCTTAACAAAACTAGGTCAGATAACCACCTTGTTAGACTTGTGTTTCCTTTATAACACAAGAACATTTTTGAACACTTTGGCTTTTGGCAAGGGGGAACCGGCATTCAAAAAAACTATATAGGGCTGTTTTTCTTTTTTCCGACTCGACCACTGGACTAACTAACTAACGTAACGTTCCCACGCATCATGTATGGTAATTTATTATGTGTTCAAGTCACTAGTCAGCTCGAAAATCAATGCAGACCATCAATATTGAGCCCTTTTCAACATAGGACACCAACTGGAGCATCCAAACCTTCAAAACAACCTTCCAAGACAATTTTCAATCTTTCGAGAATTATCATCTCTCTTACCATATATGGACTTGAACTCAGGCAACAAGTGCAGATGGGTAAACATGCTGGGTTGAAGGGATACAACACTCGGTGTGATGTGGACTGCAGTTATTGTACTCGAATCTGCCCGTGGAATTACAGTCAAACTGAAATACAATAGTTTTATTCGTCCTCTAGGGGGAAATAATCGGGCTGTTGGCGCTCTCTACTTCTACGGAGTGATATCTTATGTGGTGGTGGTGGTTAATACAGATTTCTTGTCTGCGAGTAGCAAATTTTGAGAAAGGTGCTAGGTCCCTCGAGAGTTTGGTCTCTCATTGGGGGTTAGCCTTCCGAGAAAGACGCGATGGGAGATTCTTCTACACTCGCGCGAAGGAATAGTGCTCCGCAATGTGAAGGACGCTCCTAGTTGGTAAACCCGGGTAATGTGGTGTTTTCGTATCTCCTTGCTTTGTATTGGGTGCGCAAGCAGTTTCTTCAGAACTGTGTAAACACAGCGCCGTCAGATTGTAGCGCGCTCCTTTGCAATCTGAAAATTGGTGCATGCGCGAATAGCCAGGCGAGAGGCGCCTTTCTAGCTAGTCGAGTGAAGTGCGCCGAATTGGATGGGGGAAATGGTATAGTCGAGTTGGTAAAAGGCGCCTTCTGGATAAATGTGCCCTACACACGCAAGATGTGCATTATGAACGCCAAAAGTCAACAGTTACACGCAGCCTGAGTAGGTCTGCTAGCTGTTTGGAGGATTGCGCTGCGCTTTCTTCAACTGAATGCGCGCTTCAACACCTGTTATTTCCTATGTTTTCTCCTTTCTTGTCATGGAGGTCTCTCGTGCAGCTCGTATTCTGTACAACCGCAGTCAAGGTGACCCTGTTACCCCACTCTTGGGAAGGCACACTGATATATTTGATTCAACAATGTACTGGATTAGCGCCTCCTGTTTTAATGGGAGCGCCTTTCCTTTAGCAGTATGCAGTAGAGGTAATTAGATGCCTTCTCTCTTCTTTGCACCCCCCCTTTTATACCTTCTCCTGCTTCCCCATTGATCTTACTCCAGCGCCTTTCTTCCCAAGTCTGCCTGTGCCTTTTTCCTCAAACTGCGCCGGCCTTCCTTTTAAACAGTGCACGCGCCCTTTCCTTCAAACAGTGCCTGCACCTTTTCCTCCAAACCGCGCCTGCGCCTTTCTTCAAACAGCGCCCGCGCCTTTCTTCAACCAGCTTGTTCTTTTCTCGTATAGGTTGTGATTGTTCCCCAGTCCCTAGCTATCATGGTCAGATAGCACAGCTGTTAGTGCGCGGATACTTGATGGGTTCAAGGGCAATATTTAATCTGATACCCTCGTTCGACTCGGGGTCTGGCCTTGCAAAATTTAACCACTTCTTTTTTCTAGTTCAGCGCCTTTGTTAACTCACTTTCCAGATAGTCTTTGTTGTGAGTTCGTCTCCGCACGTGTAAAATGTGTGAAAGGTCGTTGGTTCAATATGGTGCTCTTTTCTTCTCACGGCACTTTGTTTCGATAGTTGTGCACCACTCGTTTCCATCATCACGGCCAGATAGCACAGCAGTTAGTGCACAGATGTTCGATCAAATACTGCTACCCTCGTTCGACTCGGGGTCTGGCCTTTAAAGCGGTGGCTTCGTTCAAGGAACGAAGCTACCTCTTTTTCTTTGTGAGAGTGTGCCTTTTCTGAATCATCTGCAAGTGCGCTAGTGGTTTCGAATGCGAGTGCGCCAGTCGTTTTCCAACATGCCAGTGGTTTGGAATGCATGTGCGCCACCTTGAATGAAGCTACCTCCTTTATTTGCGAAAGCGCGCCTTTCTTTTCTGGATCATGTGCAAGTGTGCCCGTGGTTTGAAATGCCAGTGCACCAGTCGTTTCAATGGCCAGTAGTTTCAAATGTGCGTGCCCATAGTGACTTGTAATCTCTGAGTGCACCAGAAACTTCCAAGAGTGCGCTAGTGATTTCCATCAGTGATTTCCAATGGAGTGCGCCAGTGACCATGCTTCGCCCGTTGTTCTGAAAGGTGTTTTTGTTCTGCGCAGAAGGGCGTCTGGAGCTAATTACAAAGTGATAGCTCACATCAGCAGCTCAAATCAACCTCTTGAGGCCTCGCCAAACAGCGGTTCTCGGTCAAAAAGTGGTACTTGATTTTATTTTTTCCGGCCTAGCAGCCGGAGTAACTGACCGGCCCTTAGTTGCCAGTTTGAATGCCGGTGCCCCCTTGGCTTTTTGGGGACCTAGGAACAATGAACTACATTCACTGTGATCTACTGATTCAATCTTCCACTGCACTCAACCAAAGTGGTCTACCTAGCTAGTGTCACAGTCTGGCCAGTTGATTCCATTGTTGATGCCATCGAAGCCTGTGATCCTATTGATCCTGAATGCCTGATGATGTCAACTACGGTGCAGATCATTTCAGATCTATTGTCCTCTCCATTCTACATCAGCAGGTGATCAAGGCCATGTTGTTTCACTTCCTATTGTCTTCATCATTCTTGTACAAACAGTTGCCAACAACCACTGGGGGCAAGTGTCATGACCATGGGCTCACAGCAGAGGACCGACACTTGCCATGATCTTTGCCATACCGTCGGTGAAACTCTTTGTTCTTTTGTCAGCGTGGGAAGTCCTCGGAGTCCGAAAATACTAAGTTCACTCGAAAGAGGATAGTGATGAATCTGCAGAGAACACCAGAAAATATATACAACTGTATGGTACAAATTGTCTCTACTTTCAGCCCTGCAGCACGGTGAATTTGTTTCACAGGCAGCTTGGTCCTGGGGCTGCTTTGGGATCCCGGGTTGCATCCCACATCTTTGAAAATTTTGCGGGAAGCAGAACACCACATTGGAATTAAGCTCCTGTGAATAAGTGAAATATCGGAGGAGAATTGAGGGCGAAAACACTCAAAATGCTGAAAATTGTTGTGAACACCGAACCTTCCCACACTGACAAAGGAACAAAGAATTTGACCAACGCCATGGCAAGGGTCATGGCAAGTGTCGGTCCTCTCCCATGAACCCATGGTCATGGCACTTACCCCCAGTGAACCCACAGCTATATAAGCAGTTCTAGTTCCACCTATGTACCTTAGTGTTTTTATTTTATCTTCTTCACAGGTTGTTGTTGTCCCACTCCTAGTCTTCAATCATACCGAAGACCCGCCCAGATCCTTTGCTTGATCTTACGGTGTCATAGAGTGTGGGTAAATCGGCCTGTTTATGACAGCTAGCACCTAGTTTGGTGTTTAGCTCAAAGATAGCATAGCCTTTGTGTTGGTAATGCAAAGTAACTGCACAGCCAATGCAACAAATAAGTCTTCTTTCCTGGCGCATATGGCCCTTATATTTATATGTTGTTCTAATGCGAAACTTAGTGGTGCATTTGCATTAATCCTCAGAGGCTGTTCAACTTAAATGTCACTCCGAAAGTAGCCAGTTAAAAACCAAGGTTCCATTTTACAGACAAAACAGATACAGAGGAAAATATGTAATTCTCTTCATAGATTGTCTGAGCATACTTACACCATCCAACAATGAGCGGGGATGAACTGAGCTATTGCGGTCTTTTCTAGGTCCTTCTATACTACTGAGTTCAATGCAATGAGAGAAACAGAAATGAGTAACAGAGTGGTGGTGTTTGGTCGTTGAGCAAGCAATGAAACACATGCTGGTGTGATTCATAAGTTCAGCCAGATGAAACAGTCAGCTTAGCTGATGTTTGGCTTGGCCTAAATCATCTAGACCAATGCAGAGATCGAGAGTGAGAGGAGAAGGAGAGGGAAGGGGATAACCCATATGGAGATTCAACCAAAAACATGCAAACAAATACGAGCCATCTTGTTAAAGAATAGTTAATCAACACTAATCAACAGCATCAGGCACAGGTTCTAGGGTCATGGGAAGCAGCCGATCAAGAATCAATAGGATCACAGGCTTTGAAGGCATCAGTGGTGGAAGTAACTGGCCTGACTGTGGCACCTTTTGAGGCTTTCCAAGGTCTGAGTATGATCTGGCCAGGTTACCCATGCTAAGCAAGGTGTCTGGATGATTCTCGCCTAGAAACTGTTTCCGTTTCTTCAGCACAATAACCTCGAGTTCTTTGGCCTTTTGATGCTCTCCCAGGTCTGAGTATGAGCTGGCCAGGTTACTCATGCTAAGCAGGGTGTCTGGATGATTCTCGCCTAGAACCTGTTTCCGTTTCTCCAGCACAATAACATCGAGGTCTTTGGCCTTTTGATGCTCTCCCAGGTCTGAGTATGATCTGGCCAGGTTACCCATGGTATTCAGGGTGCCTGGATGATTCTCGCCTAGAAACTGTTTCCGTTTCTCCAGCACAATAACCTCGAGTTCTATGGCCTTTTGATGCTCTCCCAGGTCTGAGTATGATCTGGCCAGGTTACCCATGCTAAGCAGGGTGTCTGGATGATTCTCGCCTAGAACCTGTTTCCGTTTCTTCAGCACAATAACCTTGAGGTCTTTGGCCTTTTGATGCTCTCCCAGGTCTGAGTATGAGCTGGCCAGGTTACCCATGGTATTCAGGGTGACTGGATGATTCTCGCCTAGAACCTGTTTCCGTTTCTCCAGCACAATAACCTCGAGGTCTTTGGCCTTTTGATGCTCTCCCAGGGCTGAGTATGAGCTGGCCAGGTTACCCATGGTATTCAGGGTGCCTGGATGATTCTCGCCTAGAACCTGTTTCCGTTTCTCCAGCACAATAACCTCGAGTTCTATGGCCTTTTGATGCTCTCCCAGGTCTGAGTATGATCTGGCCAGGTTACCCATGCTAAGCAGGGTGTCTGGATGATTCTCGCCTAGAACCTGTTTCCGTTTCTCCAGCACAATAACCTCGAGGTCTTTGGCCTTTTGATGCTCTCCCAGGTCTGAGTATGATCTGGCCAGGTTACCCATGCTAAGCAGGGTGTCTGGATGATTCTCGCCTAGAACCTGTTTCCGTTTCTCCAGCACAATAACCTCGAGGTCTTTGGCCTTTTGATGCTCTCCCAGGTCTGAGTATGATCTGGCCAGGTTACCCATGGTATTCAGGGTGCCTGGATGATTCTCGCCTAGAAACTGTTTCCGTTTCTCCAGCACAATAACCTCGAGTTCTATGGCCTTTTGATGCTCTCCCAGGTCTGAGTATGATCTGGCCAGGTTACCCATGGTATTCAGGGTGTCTGGATGATTCTCGCCTAGAACCTGTTTTCGCTTCTCCAGCACAATAAGCTCAAGATCTTTTGCTTTTTGATGTTCACCCAGGTCTGAGTATGAGCTGGCCAGGTTACCCATGCTAAGCAGGGTGTCTGGATGATTCTCGCCTAGAACCTCTTTCCTTTTCTCGACCACAATGGCCTGGAGTTCTTGGGCCTCTTGATGTTCACCCAGGTCTGAGTATGAGCTGGCCAGGTTACCCATGCTAAGCAGGGTGTCTGGATGATTCTCGCCTAGAACCTCTTTCCTTTTCTCGACCACAATGGCCTGGAGTTCTTGGGCCTCTTGATGTTCACCCAGGTCTGAGTATGAGCTGGCCAGGTTACCCATGGTATTCAGGGTGTCTGGATGATTCTCGCCTAGAATCTGTTTCCGTTTCTCCAACACAATAAGCTCAAGATCTTTTGCTTTTTGATGTTCACCCAGGTCTGAGTATGAGCTGGCCAGGTTACCCATGCTAAGCAGGGTGTCTGGATGATTCTCGCCTAGAACCTGTTTCCGTTTCTCCAGCACTTCTTCCTCTAGCTTTGCCGCTTGTTTGTATCTCCCCCCTTCCCAAAATGCTATTGCATATTGACCTCTGAAAACCAGAGCTACTTCCGCTTCCATCTTTACAGCCAATTCAATATGTGGACACAATAGCAGACTTGCCAATTGCATATCCCACTGTGGCCGTTCTGAAATAGCCATGCCAAGTATGGACCCCATGGTGGACATGTATCCTTTTGGGTTTTGAACTGTCCCTTGACTCCAAGAATGTACCAGTGGATGAATAGAAAAGACCTTCTTCTCTGCATCAAAGCTGATCAATGAGTAGGATTGGACCTCATTGGTAGCATTGAAAAACTTTAGAGAGTCCCATTCACCATCTGGTCCCAGAAAATGTGAGAGGAATTCCAAAGGCTCCTCTAGTTCTTCCTCAGATGGACCATCAGAAGAGAATTGGTACTCTGATGCATAGCTAAAGATTTTCTCTAGGATTCCATTGTAATGGAGGAATGAACAATGCTGCAAGAACATTGCAGCTGATGGTGTGAGCCTGTCAAAACTCATTTGCCATGTTGTGTACACTGTCCAGGTATATTGATCATAGGATTGAGCAGGCTTTTCGCTGAGCAGTTGTGCTTGGTGCTTCATATAAAGAG